CCCCAAAACCCCAAAACCCCAAAACCCCATAGCACACAAAATTTGAATTATTCTATTGGACGGAAATTTAAAGTCCTCAAATAAAATTAAATCAAGCTTGAGCGCCTTACTATCCATTCATTTGAATAAAAGACCTCTTAATTATTATAAAAGGGGTAGTCTTCTTAACGTTTATAATAAAAATTTTGGAAAGATATTGATTCATTTTACTATGGCAATGTCTACGAGAGCCAAATGGATGGCTTAGATTTTATCAGATATTTTCTAAATTGGAGAATACGATGCTCACGTAAGTACCCGACCCTCACTTGCTCTATATTCTTTGTCTTCACCCCCTTTATCGCTTGAATGTCTCATGTTTTCTTGTGTAGGAACTATTCAGAAACCCCAAGCATCAACCCACCTTCGATGGGTTTTTGAAGGGCACTGGCGCAGCAAGAGTCTTCGTTTACTACTAATAGGCATATAAGATCACTGAATCTGGGGACGTTTACTGGTACCCAGGCAGAGAAGAATTCTACGTTACCGATGGTAAGAATTTTAACAATTTGAATTTGCCGGCAACTTAAATCTTATTTAATAGGCGAGAAAGAGAAGCTAAAGGGCAAGGGAGTCTACTTCATCAGGACCACTCCTCCCAACAAACCCGTCAATCCTAACATTGGTAACGATAATGAAGTTTTGTTTGGAGAGATTTCCGAACACACCGTCTATTCGCTCAACATCATTGTGAACAATGTGTTCAAACCCTTAGTGGATAGACTAGAAACAAGTGACTGGGGTACTTGCGAGGAAGAGCAAAAGAAGGAATTCTCGTAGGTGTTCGATAAGTTCGCTATTGAGTTGAAAGAGGCTCTAAAGAGTCTTTAAAACAACTTGCAACTTGAACCCTACAACGAGAAGTGGGAAAATGACGCCAAAAACATCCAGTCCACCAAGACCCCCAACCCAGACATGATCGCTGACTTCGAGCGCATCTTCAACGTCTGGTCCGAAGAGATTGAAAGAAACATCAGGGATATGGAAAACAACCCCCCAGGTGAGAAAGAACCAGGCCCCAAACACGAACTTGAGAACTGGAGAACCAAGATGAGAAAACTCACCTGCATCTCTGAGCAACTCAGAAGCAAAAACTGCAGAACTGTCTATGACGTGCTCACTCAAGCCAGTCAAAACCCAGCTGAACAACTTGGCAAACCTAGAGACAAGATCTATCTCGCCACTTCAAAATGGAGAAGCATTGAGCTCAAAGTCACTGAACAACTCAACGAGGCCAAGGATAACGTTAAGTATCTAGCTACTCTTGAGAAATTCATAGAGCCACTCTATGAAGGTACTCCAGAGACCATCAAGGATACCCTCCCAGCTTTGATGAACTCAATTAAGATGATCCACACCATTGCTAGATATTACAACACCAACGACTCAATGACAGGTCTCTTTGTCAAGATCACCAACCAAATGATTGCCCAGTGCAAGTACAACATCCTCAACTACAAGAAAATCAGAGACCCCAACACAGTAGGAAGCAAGAAAGCTGTCTTGGATGATGGTGTGCTCTGGAATCACGATGAATACCCACCAGAAGAACTTATCCCCATTCTCAAGAGCTGTCTAGATCTCAACCAAGCCTACTAAAAGCAATATGAGATCACCAAGGAGAGACTCATGAACATGCCCAAGGGAAAGCAATTCGAATTCTCTCCCAACCAAATCTTCGGCAAGTTCGACCTCTTCTGCAGAAGAGTCTCCAAGCTCATCGAGCTCTTTGGAACCATTCAGCAATTCAGAACCCTTGACAAGCACAACCTTGAGGGCATCTCTCACATTACCAAGACCTTCGAAGGCTATGTCAATTCATTCAAGAAGAAGTCCCACAAGTTGCTTGACTACACTCAAAACACCTTCGACAGAGACTTCGTCGAGTTCAACGTTGACGTCTCCTCAGTCGAGACTGAGCTTCAACAATACATTGACAAGAATTTCGAGGTTATTACCAGCATTGAAGACTCACTCAAGCTTCTTAGAAAATTCCAAACCATTCTTCAAAGAGAAAACCTAAGAAACAGCTTAAGCTCAAAGTATACCATCCTTTTCCACAACTATGGTCTTGAAATCCATCAAATTGAAGACTAGTATCAAAAGTACAAGAACAACCCACCCATTGTAAGAAACTTACCAACTGTATCAGGTAGCATCACCTGGTCAAGACATTTGTTCCACAGAATTTCAGGCCCAATGGAGCAATTCCCTCAAAACCTCATCAGACAGAAGGAGTCTAAGAAATTCGTTAAGATGTACAACAAGATCGGTTACACTTTATTCTCCTTCGAGTATCTCTGGAGATAGAAATGGGCTCATGAAGTCGAAAAGGCCAAGGCTGGACTCCAAGCTACTCTCATTATCAGACATCCAGACAACAACAAGCTTTATGTCAACTTCGATAGTGAAATCCTCACCCTCATCAGAGAAGCTAAGTGCCTCTCCAGAATTGGTATTGATATCCCAGAGAGTGCCAAGATTGTCCTCTTGCAAGAAGATAAGTTCAAGATGTACAACATTGAGCTTCACTTCGTCCTAAGAGAGTATGACAGAATCGTAAACAAGATCAGACCAAACACCAAGAGTCTCTTGGTTCCCCATCTTGAGGACTTAGAATACAAACTCAGACCAGGTATGGTTACCTTGACATGGACTTCAATGAATATCGACGGTTACCTCCATCACGTCCATCAAGGTCTTGCCAAGCTCGAGCAATTGATCATTAACATCAATGACATCATGGAAAACAGAATCGAGAACAACTTGAAGGCTCTTTCAAAGACTGTCCTAGTCAACCTCCCACAAGACGCTCAAACCTTCACTCTTGATGACTTCGTAGAAATGCAAGAAGTCTGGATCAAGGAAGAGTCCCAAAAGCTAAAGTCAAAGAACTATGAAGTTGAAGGCGCAGTTGAGGATCTCATCCAAACTATCTGCTCTTACTAACTTGACCAACACGTTGAGCCAATCTCAGCTGAGGAAATCCAAAAGCTTTCAAAGTATTACAACTGGTCAATGTATCAGGCCCTACTTCATGCCACCAAATACTCACTCAACCAAATGAAAGAGAGAATCTGCGGAAGAAGAAACGCTCCAAAGGTCGTTCTCAAGCCATTCTTCGAGGTAGATGTCCTGCTAGAAGGTGATACTTGCACTCTTAAACCATCACTTGAAGAAGTACAAAGCGCAATCAACAGAGCTGCCTCCCACGTACTCAAGTCAACCAAGAACGTGCAAAACTGGAACCAAAAGGATCAACCAGAGGATCAAAGAGAGCCATTCTATGACTGGATTGCTAAGGACAAGGAGATCGTAAAGGTCATCTTGCTCTTGACTGGTTCCATCCAAGGCACCAAGAACAACGTGAAGAAATTCCTCGACTCATTCGAGAAGTACGACTGGCTCTGGAAGCAAAGAATTGACGAGAACCTCAAGAGATTCAACGCAAAGAACCCACAACTTGAAGACTTCGAAGAGAAACTCAAGGAATTCGTCCACTTCCAAGATCAAATCAACAAGATTGATGCCTACAACCAAATCGGAGCCCTTTCACTCAAGACTGACAATGTAAAGGCTGGACTCAAGAAGTGGATTGAGCTATGGAAAGAAGCATTCTCCAAGGACCTCCACAAGAAGGCAAAGACCCTCCTCGAACACTTGACTGATGACATAAAGTAGATCAGACTTAAGATCGACAAGCCAGCTAAGGATATTGACAGTTTAGGCAATGTGATGCACGCCCTTGAAGAAATCAGAAAGAAGGAAAGTGAAATTGAACTCCAATTCAGACCTGTCTCTGAAATGTACACTCTCCTCGAACACTATCTCCCAGAAGTCATGGAAAAGGAAGAGATGGATGCTAAATCTATCCTTGAAAAGGACTGGACTTAACTTGTTGCCTTTGCTGAGACCATCAGAAACGAACTCCAAGGCCAACAAGCTGAATTCAAGAAGAGTTTGATCACAGGTATCAACATCTTGATCGTTGATGTTGAGGAATTCAGAAAGAACTTCGAGAAGAACGGACCTATGGTGCCAGGTATTGAGCCAAAGGAAGCTCTTAACAGACTTAGAATGTTCTCAGACGAGTACTCAGTCAGAAAGAGAAAGTACGATTCTTACTTCGCTGGAGAAACCCTCTTCGGACTCCCCCATCAAAGCTACCCCGCCCTCGAAGAGACTAGAAAAGAAATCGAGCTTCTTGACAAGCTTTATAACCTCTATTCAAAGGTCAAGGACACCATTGAGAAATGGAGAGAAGTGCTCTGGACTGAAATCCAAAACGAAATTGGCAAGATGATGGAGCAAATCGACGTGTTCAGCAGAGATTGCATGAAACTGCCAGGAGTGTTGAAGACTTGGGACGCCTATAAGGAACTCAAGCAAGAGATTGATGATATGACTGAAATCCTCCCATTGGTTGAATCACTCGCCAAACCCTCAATCAGACCCAGACATTGGGACGAGATCATCTCCATGACCAAGGAAGATATTCCATATGCTAGTGAGACTTTCTCATTCTCTCAACTCTTGAAGGCCAACCTCCTCCAGTTCAAGGAAGATATTGAGGATATTGCAGACTCAGCTGATAAGCAACTAAAACTTGAGACCCAACTCAAGGAAGATATCTCCAAGTTCTGGGAGACCGCCGAACTTGAAATCAAGACCTGGAAAGGTGTTGATGCCCCATGTACCCTTGGAGGTAATATTCAAGATATCCAGGATAAGCTAGAAGAGCACATCATGGCACTCAATCAAATGAACGCTATGAGATACGTTACTCCATTCAAGGCTGAAGTCACTGAGAAGATCTTCTCACTCTCAGAAGTTGCTGACACCATTGAAAAGTGGCTTAAGGTGCAAACTCTTTGGACCAATCTTGTGTCTGTCTTCACCAGTGGAGATATCGCCAAGCAAATGCCAACTGAAGCAAAGAAATTCAAGAACATCGACAAGCAATGGCTTAAGATCATGGAAAGAGCCAATGAGCAAAAGAACGTTATTGCCTGTTGCCAGAATGATATCCTCAAGAACTCTCTCAGTCAGTTGCAAGAGGGACTTGAGTTCTGTCAAAAGAAACTTGAAAACTATCTAGAGTCAAAGAGAAACATCTTCCCTCGTTTCTATTTCTGCTCCAATGCCGATCTCCTTAAGATTCTATCAGTCGGATCTGACCCCAACGCTGTGCAAGATGATTTCGAAAAGCTTTTCGACGCTATCAACAGAGTCGTCTTCGATGACCAAGACAGAAGACTCATTATTACCATTGAACAAACCATCGGTTCATTCGCTGAGAACATTTCCCTCGTCGATGGAGTTAAAGCCGAAGGTAACATTGAGGACTGGTTGTGCAAACTTGAAAAGGAAATGCAAAAGTCAGTTAGATCAGTCTGCCAGAGAGGTTCAAAAGACTGCTTCGCCTTACCTCTTAGAGATTTCATTGACTAATATCCATCTCAAATCGCCCTTCTAGGTATCTAGATGATTTGGACCAACAAGGTACAAGATTGCCTTGAGAGAAACCAAAAAGAGAAGTTGACTGAGCTCGACAGAAAGAAGAAGGATATTGAAAACATCATGAAGGAATTGTCAGCAATGTGTCTGGAAGACATGAACAGACTTTAAAGATGTAAAGTTGAAACCCTCGTTACTATTCATGTACATCAAAGAGATCTCTTCCAAAAAATCCTCGAAGATGCTAAACAACACAAGATCAAGGATGCCAATGACTTCGACTGGACTAAAAACACCAGAATCTACTGGAAACATGATGAAGAACAAGTAGCAGTACAAATTACTGATGTCGAATTCATCTATTCTTATGAGTTCTTAGGAGCCAAAGAGAGACTTTGTATTACCCCACTTACTGATAGATGCTATATCACTCTTTCCCAAGCCCTAGGTATGCTTTATGGTGGTGCCCCAGCTGGTCCCGCCGGTACTGGTAAGACTGAAACTGTCAAGGATCTCGGAAGAACCCTCGGTATCTTCGTCGTCGTCACAAACTGCTCTGATGAGCACAAATACAGAGATATGGCTAAGATTTTCAAGGGAGTGTGTCAAAGTGGTCTCTGGGGTTGCTTCGATGAGTTCAATCGTATTTCTCTCGCCACCCTATCCGTCGTCGCTGCTCAAATTGAGTCCATCACCCTTGCCAAGAAACAAGGTCTCAAGAGATTCATGTTCCCCAACGAAGCTCAACCAATTGGACTTGTCCAAGCCTGCGGTTATTTCATTACCATGAACCCTGGTTATGCCGGTAGACAAGAGCTTCCAGAAAACTTGAAGGTGCAGTTCAGAAGTGTGTCTATGATGATGCCCAACAGACAAGTTATCATGAAGGTCAAGTTGGCCTCCGTCGGTTATTCAACCTATGAGCCCCTCTCCAAGAAGTTCAACGTGCTTTACAAGCTTTGCGAGGAGCAGCTCTCAAAACAACGTCACTACGATTTCGGTCTCAGAAACATTCTCTCAGTGCTCAGAACTGCTGGTATCATTAAGAGATCTGAGCCATTAGGAACTGACGAAGAGATGATCATGGCTAGAACCCTAAGAGATATGAACTTGTCAAAGTTCGTCGCCCAAGATCAACCACTCTTTGAGCAATTGCTAAAGGATATCTTCCCCAGACAAAACAACATTCCAAAGAAAACTTACAAGGATGTCGAAGTATCTGTTAAAGCTCTAATGAAGACTAACAACCTTGTCGACAAGCCACAATGGTTCATTAAGATTATTCAGTTATATGAAACATCTATTGTGCGTCACGGTTTCATGGTCGTCGGCCCAGCTGGTTGCGGTAAGACTACCATTATGAACACTTTGACTGATGCCTTGAGTAACAACGGTTTCCAACACAAGATCACCAGAATGAATCCAAAGTCAATCACTGGTCAGCAAATGTATGGAGTCATGAACACCATCACTGGTGAGTGGGTACCAGGAGTCTTCTCACAAATCTGGAAGAAATGTAACGATAAGAAAAACAAGCATACCTCTTGGATTACTTGCGATGGTCCAGTCGATGCTATTTGGATTGAAAACCTTAACACTGTGCTCGATGATAACAAGATTCTTACTCTCGCCAATGCCGAGCGTATTCCCATGACTGATAACACTAAGATGGTCTTCGAAGTAGAAAACCTCAACAATGCCTCACCCGCTACTGTATCAAGATGTGGTATCGTCTACGTCTCAGAATCAGATTTGAACTGGGAGCCACTCATTGATACCTGGATCAAGGACAGACAAGAGACCAAGATCTATTGCAATCAGGAAGAAGGTAACTGGGTCAATGAATTCTTTGAAAAGTATTTCGTCAAACCAGATCTCTTCACACTCTTAGTCAAGAACTTCATCTATGTGATGTACAGTCCCCCAGTTCTAAGAATCAGTCAGTTGCTGAACTTGATTACTGCCCTCTTACAGCAATTCCTTGATAAGCAAGAGCAACTAGACAAACCCTCATTCGAAAAGATATTCGTCTACTCCGTTGCCTGGGCTATTGGTGGTCTTTTCGAAACAGAAGAGAGAGAGAAGTTCCACAAGTTCCTAGAACAAAGAAACGCCCCTCTCCCACCCATTTCCGCTCAAAAGATGTCTGTTGACAAGGAAACAGTTTTCGACTACTATGTTGATCCAAACAACAAATCATGGAAACTTTGGGAAGCTGAACAATGGGTTCCACCTAAGAGACTTGCCTTCTCTCAACTCCTCATCCCAACCATCGATTCCACCAGAGCCGAATTCATCATTAAGAAGATTGCTGGACTCCCATTGATGAGATCAGAAAAGAGAAAGGAATCTGGAGCTCTTTCAACAATCCTTGTTGGAGGTCCAGGTACTGCCAAGACCTCAGTTATCCTTATGTACGTCTCCAAGTTCGACCAGTCAGCTATGCTCTTCAAGAGAATAAACTTCTCCAGTGCTACCACTCCTTACAACTTCCAAGAGTCAATGGAGTCTGAAGTCGAAAGAAAGCAGTCAAGAACCTTCGTTCCCCCCGGTGGCAAGAGAATGACTGTATTCTTGGATGATATGTCTATGCCCTTCGTCAATCTTTGGGGTGATCAAATTACCCTAGAAATCACCAGACAACTCATTGAGCAAAAAGGATTCTACTTCTTGAGTAAGGACGATAGAGGATACTTCAAGCAAATTGAAGGCCTCCAATACTTGGGTGCAATGAATCATCCAGGTGGTGGTCGTAACGATATCCCCAACAGACTTAAGAGACACTTCTTCATTATCAACATGACCTCACCATCTCAGAGATCTATTGAGAACATCTATGGTAAGATTCTTGAGGTACTCTTCCACCCCAAGAGATATTCCGCTGAAGTCATCAACATGAAGGGACTTCTTATTGAAAGCACCATTGCCCTTTGGGAGCAAGTTAAGAGAAGACTTCTTCCAACACCAGCTAAGTTCCATTATATTTTCAACATTCGTGAGCTCTCAAGAGTCTTCTAAGGTATCTGTAATGTTGCCCAGAAACACGAGTATTCAGTTATTAAGAACACTTCCCAACTTAGAGAAAAGATCAGACAAGAACTCTTCTTGATTGGTCTCTGGAGACACGAGTGCGAAAGAGTGTTTGAAGATAAACTTATCTCTAACTAAGATAAAAAGACCTTCCACGATATCCTAGACAGAGTCACCAAAGAGAAGTACAGCAGCAGTCTTGGATTCGATGACGATCAACTTATGACTACTATGCTTTTCGCTGACTTCCAAAGAGAAGATAAATTCAACGAGTACGGAGAGCTTGAAGAGGAAGCTCCATTCGTTTACGAAGCCGTTCCAGACATTGAACACATCAGAAAGAGAATTAACAAGAAGATGGACGATTACAATGAGAAGTACCCATCAAAGAAAATGAACTTGGTTATCTTCGATGATGCCCTCAGACATTTACTCAGAATTACCAGAATTATTAACTCACCAAGAGGTAACTGCTTACTAGTCGGAGTCGGTGGTTCAGGTAAACAATCACTTACCAAGCTTTCATCATTCATCTGTAAACAACTGTTCTTCCAGATCTCACTCTCAAAGTCATATGGTGAGAACAATCTTAAGGATGATATCAGAAACCTCTACAGAGAAGCCGGTCCCGCTGGAAAGAACGTTACTTTCATTATGACTGACTCAGAAATCAAGAGTGAAGATTTCCTCGAGTCCATCAACAGTATGCTTGCTACTGGAGAAATCGCCGGTCTTATTCCAAAGGAAGAGAAAGACGTGTACGCCCTCGAAACCAAGAACGTTTACATGAAGGAAGTCGGAACAAAGGGAGAGGACCCAACTACCCTCGAACTCTGGATCTATTTCATTAACAGAGTCAGAGATTGCCTCCATATGGTGCTTGCCTTCTCACCCGTTGGTACCAAATTCAGAGAAAGAGCCAGAAAGTTCCCCTCACTTTTCTCATCCTGCACAATCGATTGGTTCCTCCCATGGCCCGAGGATGCACTTGTCTCTGTGTCCAACAAATTCCTCAAGGAATTCCAAATTGATTGCACCAAAGAAGTAAAGGTCGAAATTGAAAGACATATGGGTAAAGTGCACGATCTCGTGACAGAGGTTTGCGAAATCTATTTCCAAAGAATGAGAAGATACGTCTATGTCACACCCAAATCTTATCTTGCCTTCATTGATCAATACAAACAAGTGTATAAGAGCAAATTCGATGGAGTATCAACTGAAGAATAAAACATTAGAAAAGGTCTTGATAGACTAAAGGAAGCCGCAGAAGGTGTTGAAGAACTTAAGATTGATCTAAAGAAAGAAGATCAAAAACTCAAAGAAGCATCAGAAGTTACTGATAGACTCCTTAAAGATCTCGAAGTAGAAAACAGAAAAGCCAAGATCAAGGGAGATGAAGTCGCTATTGTCGCTGAAAAGTGTATTGCCTAGAGAAATCAGATTATGATAGAAAAAGAGCAGGCAGATCGAGATCTGCAAATGGCTATGCCCTATCTGAGAAAAGCCGAGGCTGCTGTCGACTCTATTAAGCCAAAGGATATCACTGAGCTTAAGGGAGTCATGAAGGCCGTCGATACCACCAGACTTATCCTAGATACTGTGAACATTCTCTTCTAATTGCCACTGGTTCCAGTAACATTCAAGAACTTATTCATCATGAAGCAAGATATTCCTTTCATTGCTGATTCATTTGATGAGTACTCCAAGAGTACCTTGACAAACAACAACTTCCTCAAGAGTTTGTTCGATTTCTCAGCTAATGATAAAGATAACATCAATGAGGAAACTATTGAACTTCTAGAACCATATCTAACACTTAAGGTCCCAAGCAGTGGAGAGGATTGCTTCACTGGTCAAGTCGCCAAGAAGTCATCATCTGCCCTCGAAGGTATGTGCGTTTGGGCTGCTGCTATGAGTGACTATCACAAACAATCAAAGATCGTCAAGCCTAAGCTTATCCTTCTTCAAATTAAGAATCAAAGTCTCCATGAGGCTGAGGCCAATCTTGCTGAAGCTCAAGGCGAGTTAGATCAATGCAGAATCTTGAAGGAAACCCTTCAGAAGAAATTCGATGATCAAATGTCAGAGAAGAATGCCCTCCAAGAGAAGGCTGCTAAGACAAGAAAGAAGATGGACTAGGCTAACAGACTTATCAACTCACTTCAAGATAACAAAGAGAGATGGATCCAAAACGCCAATGATTTCAAGAACTTCAAACTCAGACTAGTCGGTGATGTTGCCAAAGCATGCGCCTTCGTATCTTATTGCGGTCCATTCAACTCAGAGTTCAGAACTAAGCTTTTAGACGAATATTTCCACGAAGATCTAATTAAGAGAGGCATTCCCACATCACAAGACCTCGAACTCACCAAGTTCTTGGTTGATGATGCAACTGTCGGAGAATGGAACTTGTAAGGTCTCCCATCAGATGATCTCAGTATTCAAAACGGTATCATGGTCACCAGATCAGCCAGATATCCACTCATGATTGATCCCCAAGGACAAGCTATTTCTTGGATTAAGAGAAGAGAATCAGATCTCTTAGAGAGAGACTGTATCTTCACATTGAACCATCCATCACTTAAGGATGCTTTGAAATTCCCACTCATGGAAGGATGGGCTGTGCTTATTGAATCTATTGAAAATGAAGTCGACCCAATGCTTGATCCAATCCTTGAAAAGCAAATCATTGTAAAGGGTAGAAACAAGTTGATCAAGATCTCAGATCAAGATATGGACTACAGTGACAACTTCAGACTCTACATGACATCCCGTCTTGCTAACCCTCACTTCTCACCCGAGCTTGCTGCCAAAGCTACAATTATTGATTTCACTGTCACACAGGGTGGTCTTGAACAACAACTTCTAGGTAGACTGATCTCCAAAGAGCAGAAGTCACTCGAAGAACAACTTACCCAACTCCAAGAAGAGGTCACATTGAACACCAAGACACTTCAATCTTATGAGAAGTAACTTCTAGAAAGACTTGCCTCTGCCTAGGGTTCACTTTTGGATGATACCGAGCTTATTGATGTGCTCGCCACCATCAAGACTAAGTCAAAGGAAGTTAATGAGAAACTTTCAGAGTCAAAAGAAAAGAGAATCGAAATCAATGAGAAGAGAGAACAATTCAGAATGGTCGCCTCAAGAGGTTCAGTCCTCTATTTCTGTATCGTCGAGATGACCCTTGTCAACTGGATGTATAACACTTCTCTTCAACAATTCCTTGGACTCTTCGATTGGTCAATTGACAACGCCCCCAAGGCACAGCTCATCAAGGACAGAGTCCTCAATGTAACAATGTGGTTAACCAACAAAGTCTACAGATACATAAACAGAGGTCTCTTCGAAAGAGATAAGGTTACATTCAAACTCATGATGTGCTTGAAGGTTTTAATCAAGGAAGGTAAATTGACAGGTGCAGATGTAAATTTGTTCTTGAAATCAGGAGCAGGTATCGATGACAGAAACAAGCCATTCAACTGGATGGATCAGAAGACTTGGTTGAACTTGAAATCGCTCTCAAAGCACAAGTTCGCTAATGAACACACTTTCTTCTTCAAGGAGCTCCCAGATAGAATCCAAAGAAATGAACAAACCTGGAGAAAGTGGATTGATGAGAACGAGCCAGAGAACACTCCAATTCCAGATTATGAAGAGAAGATCAATGCTGACCAAAACATTGGTCACTTCATTAAACTCTGTCTTATCAGATCACTTAGAGAAGATAGAACTGTACTTGCTAGTAATCAGTTCATCAAAAGAGTACTTGGAGATGAATATGTCGCTCCAGTAACAGATCTAATTCCGGACACTTGGATTGAATCACTACCAAACAGACCAGTGCTCTATTTGCTATCCGCTGGTGCTGATCCAACTAACAACATCGATGATTTCGCTAAAAAGAAGAAGCAGTTCCCAACTGGTAAGGTATCCATGGGAGAGGAAATGGAAAAACCAGCCCTCGAAATGATTAAGAACGGATTTGTTTCAGGTAAATGGGTCGTCCTCAACAACTGTCATTTGAGTTTGGAATTCATGGCCCAAATGGAAGAAATCCTCAACCCCAAGAGCGTTGAGATTCATGAGGACTTCAGACTTTGGATTACTTGCGAGCCTCATCCTCAATTCCCTCTTGGTCTTTTACAAATGGCCATCAAGGTTACAACTGAGCCACCCAAGGGTCTTCAAGCCGGTCTTTCAAGAACATTCTCCACAATGATTAACCAAGACTTCCTTGAAAAGGTTGAACCATACGACAAATGGAGAGCACTTGTTTTCACAACTTGCTTCCTTCATTCCATTGTGCAAGAGAGAAGAAAGTTCGGTCCTCTTGGATTCTGTATTCCATATGAGTTCAACAACTCAGATCTCGAGGCCTCTCTAATGTACATTGACAAGCATTTGACACAATGTGCCACTTTGAATATCGGTTATTCATGGAAAGCTATTCAGTACATGGTAACTGAAGTGCAATATGGAGGTAGAATTACTGACGATTTGGACAGAGAACTCTTCATTACCTATGGACAACTTTGGTTGAACGACAACATCTTCCAGCCAAACTATCCATTCAACACTGCCTACACTGAGTTCCACTATCAAATCCCAGACTGCTCAGAACACAGTAAATATGTTGAGTACATCACCTCTATGCCAGAGAAAGATAGCCCAATTATCTTTGGTCTACATCCAAATGCCGACTTGACTTACAGACTCTAGGAATCACTGCAAATGATCAACACTTTGGTCGATACTCAACCAAAGGAAGCCTCAGGAGCTGGTGGAAAGTCAAGAGAAGAAGAAGTTAGAGAGAAGATTGAGAAGGATTTACTTCCACAACTCCCAGCAGATTTCATGGAAGCTGAAGTAGAAGAAAAGCTCAGAGTTATGAGAGGACCCAGAGGTCTTACTGAGACTGGTAAGGGAGTACCTCTTAATGTGTTCCTTTCACAAGAAATTCAGAGATTCCAAATGATCTTAACAATTGTGAGAACTACTATGGTTAACATGGTAGATGCCATTGAAGGTTCAATTATCATGACCCCAGATATTGTAGACGCTATTAATGCTGTATTCGATTTCAGAGTCCCAAGAAACTGGTGCTACGATCCAACTGGAGCTGAGATTTCATGGCTCACACCATCACTTGCCTCTTGGATCAAGGGTCTCCTTGATAGACACCATTAATTGAATAATTGGATTTCAAAGGAAAGACCACCCTCTTTCTGGCTGACTGGATTCTTCAACCCACAAGGATTCTTGACTGCAATGAAGCAAGAAGTTACCAGGCAGAAGAAAGCTCAAGCTTGGTCACTCGATGAGGTCGACTATACCACTGATGTACTTAAGGAAATCATCTAAGGTGACGACGGCAGAATCGAAGGAAAGACCATCAACCCACCACCTGAAGGCGCTCTTATTCACGGTCTCTATTTAGAAGGTGCTGGTTGGAACAGAGGCGAAAGAAGAATTGAGGATTCAAACCCCAAGGAACTCTTCTACACATTCCCAATCATCCACGTTAGTGCTACTTCAACCGCCCCACAAACAGGTGGACCAGGTCTTGGTGCTAAAGCCAAACAAGACGACAGAGCCGGTGAGAAATCATCATATTCTTGCCCAGTGTACAAGTATCCAAAGAGAAACGATAGATATTTGATCTTCAGAGTGTTCCTCAAGTGTGATGCCCAAGGAGGAAGTTCCAATCTCTCCAGAGGTGTTACTCCAGCTATGAACTGGAAACTTAAAGGTGCTGCTTTACTTTGTTCCAAAGAGTGAAAATTTTATAAACTCTATTTAAGTAAATCCTATATTAATTTTACTAAAATTCAACCATATAACCACTTTTAATTTAATCAATATTTTTCTAAATATCTAAAATTAATGTTGAATTATGGGGTTTTGGGGTTTTGGGGCTTTGAGGATTAAAAATGATGAAAAT